GTGGGGAGGGAGGAATGGCGTGTCGGCGAGATCATGCGTGTCTGGGCACGCATTAGCAGCTGTTGTTCTTAAGATGGGCGCCAGTCAGTCCAGCGCGATCGGAGACCCTCGTAGTGGACATCTTGGTCAACATGGCGGTTGATGCTGTCCGCACCGGTGTGCCAAGCGTCGAGGAATTTCCGTGCCTGTTTGGTGTTAACCATGGCAACTACTTCAGTACCGGCCCAATTGAAACAATGGTCACAATCATGAGCGTGAGCAAATACGAGAAACAAGGGGTTGCGTCGGCGGATAGCCAGCTTGTGTTCATTAATGCGAGTCCCAAGTTGTCAACCCGTGTAACCAATATAAATGCAACTGCAGTTAGCGCACGGGATACGGGATATGTGGGTCGTTTGTTGTTCTGCGTGTATGGAGTTTTTTACCCGGTATAATGCTGCACGTAAGGAGGACGCAGGCTTGTGTGCAATGCAAATGCCAAACCAGTTTAGTTGTCGGGCGATCTCTTCGGAAATTCCTTGCATGTGGGTCAAGGAGTAATATTTCCGCTGCGTCACTTCTCCACTAGAACTCCGATCTTGTGGTCGCCTCTGACGTCTAGGGCAGTTTTTCACGAAGCTAATCGGATATCCGTTAGATCGGAATAATTGATATAAGTAGGCTAGTTCTCTCTTGAGTAGATGCCCGCTGCTACAGTACGGAAAGACGCGGTGAAAGATTCCCGGCGCAACTGGTTTTGTGGGCAGCAGGATGGTTGCTTCCATAGTTGAGGATGATTTCGGCATTGGGGTCTTTTCTGTGGACACTGGTTGCGAGATTGCCATCAATCAGTCTTTGTACACTGACGTCGAGAAAAGGGAGGATGTCCCCTGTTGCTTCTTCGCGAGTGAATTGTATGGTGGGGAAGACACCATTAAGAACCTGGTGCAGTCGTTCAACCTCGCTGTTTTTTATGACAATGAAGGTATCATCTTTGGTCTGACTGTTTGAATAACAGTTTCATCTAGTCTTTGTAAGACTAGTTCAACGAGTAGCCCCGATATTGGTGAACCCATTGGGGAGCACTTGACCTGTTGGCAATACTTACTATCGAATTGACAATAGTTCTTAAGGCAGAGCCCAAGTATGCCTAAAAGTGTTATAATGGAATGCCAATGGGAGTTTCCTCCAGGCGTCGAGCTACGCTCTCAAATACCAATTTATGTGGTAATAAGCTCTGACATTCATTGCCGCTTACGGCACCTTCTTGCCTCCCTGTCTGATTGGCGGCCTTTGAAGAGTGATGGCCCAAGCTAAATGCAGGGCTGCATCACACCCTCCTGGGCCTTAAGAATTGTGTGTGTCTGCTGTGCCACAATTCAGCGCTCGCAGGCCGGTGTGTGTTGGTAGCTTTCTGGCACCTCGTTCCCTACCGGTAGATGTGTTTGCTCTTCCGCCGGGTATATATGTCGGGTGTATGTTTGCCCAGTAACTTGTGCCGTCCTTCTCTTTCTGACTCATTTTTATTACTGGTAAAAGTTCTGGTCAAGTATTTGTTGGGAACCATGGAATGTGGTGGTACTCATAGACGCGGGCCCGGCCGTGCCGGCCACCTGCGCTCCCTCCTGCCGTCAGTCTTCTTGACTATGTCCTTACACCAGGCTCAGACGGGGGAGGGGAGAGTGAGGTAGGCGCTGTACAAGTCCACTGCTTTTTAAGCCAGCTCAACCGCAAGTCACCGTGCCTACTCTCAGCCCGATTTGGAACACACGGTGGGCATCGTCGACATCGACGGTCGAACTGTCATGTTGTCATCTACCAGTCAACTTAATGCCCCCAAGCCGTAGACGGTTAGCCTTGTTGTCAACGACGTCGGGGAAAGCGTGCTTTGCCTTTGGGGAACAGCACCGTCCACCGCGTTAGTTCTGTCTCCTTGCTCCCTTTCTAATGCACTGAATGGAGTCTAGACCGCCGTTGTGAGCCCATACATTTCTAGCCTCGTCTTGCGCACATGCTTTGCCGGACATCGTAGTAATCCGTCGGCTTCCTGGTGATAGACAACAAAATCGGACAGTGAGTGCAGATTAGCTTCTTAATCCCTCGTTGGTTTATTGCCAGTCACCCACCAGGTTGCGTGACTGTGTCCACTGTCTCTTTCCCCATACCGTCGCCAATGACTCAGACATTCGTTCTCCTTTTATTTCCTATAATTGCCCCGGTTATTCGATTCATGTCACTCGCGGTAGCTGCGTTGCACCTTATCTTACCATTTTGTCTGATTTCCTTGCCTTCAGTCGGTTTCGTCGCGGGAATCACATGCGCCTACCCAAATCAAATAAGGAGGCACTCTCCGGGAATATAGTTCACTAGAACCACATATTTCCGTGTCCAACCAACGAAACAACTTACTTATACTCTCACCGTCAAGCATGTCAAAGAAATTAACTCCAAAGTTAATTGAAAGAGCAGTTAGGACGTAAAATTAGTTCTTCACAGTTATTCCTCGCAGCATGAAACATGAATGTACTCTGTCTGGGACCCGAGGGCAACTCCAAATGTGAGGCCACCCCGGGGTGCATGGCTTGGCCACTAGTCAGCCCGTTTCGTCATCGTTCCCCCACGATGATCAAAGGTTCTAAGCCAATTTGACGGACAGACTGCCGAACTTTGATGATAACTGGAAGAAAGCCCTGCTTGACGGAGAAGTTCAGACAGGCAGCAAGGGTTACTAACAACTCGAAAACTGCGACCAAGACACGGGAACCAGTCAACGAGCGAACTGAACAATCCAGCCCGCGCCACCAACGCAAACTGCCCTTTAGTAGGAGTTCACGCTCTGTAAAAATGTCTAAATTCTCCAAGCATTTTAGAGCTACGCTTCCACATCGTCGCCTTTGAAGTAAAATATCACGAGCGGCATTTTATGGAGGAAATATGAATGACGACCTAGTTTTTAGAGGGTAAATTCTTCGTCCCCCGGAGTTGAGAGCGGGAACGTAAGATTCTGGGCACATCCGCGTATTTAGCGTCTAACCCACTATTTTTAGTTTTTCCCTACTTCTTACAATGCAGAATGGGATCCAAGGCGTCCAATCACTTTAGACTAGAGTTTTTGCGACGTTGAATACCTGCGTTACCTTACCTCCTTTCAATTGCAAATACATTCCTAGTACAATGAGACCGCACGGGGTTCTCCTGTCTGAAAATCTCAGTCCTTACCAAAACCATGTCCCTATAATCCTGAATTTCTATACGACTTGCCCACATCAAAGAGCTCTCCCCTACCTTAATCATTCCAAGTGCTTTAGTCTGTCTTAATGGCGATTTCATGAGTTTGGGTTTCGCTGAAAGTACCAGCGATGATGTCGCATGCCTCCCTTGTTCTCCGCAAAATTTGCCATGAATCAAAAAGGGTGCGTGATGCAGATGCAGGTCTGGCGGTAAACTACTGACTGAGCGAAAAACTTTAGGGACATACGATGTTATTCGATGAAGTTCCCTATTGCCTTCCTAAAGGCTTCCAATAACGTCGAATAGAAGGATGTTTGAGTTATGTGGGTCGCAGGAGGATTAAATAGAGCGCTGACCCTAGGTAACAGTCGGTCTGAAAACCCCAGCAAATGTCTAATGGGTTAGGATGTTTCAATGCCTTAATTCCAGCTTCGGCTGTTTTTATTTCTTGCGCTCTCAATAAAACCTTTCATTTCATGAACAAATACTAAAGAGATATCGTCGGCGGCCGCCGCCACATGAGAACGTCACTGAACCTGCCACAAAGCTCTGTTGTTTTAGAGAGGAACCCATTAAAAACATTCCAACTGCGTGGTGTTTTACAAAGCGTTTGTCGTCATAAAACAAAATGTACAAACGACAGTGTGCACTTGAAAATAAAGTGATCCTTTTGAAAACACCCATTTTTATAATAGGGAACTCCAACCGTGTCTTAGAACTATATCCATTTTTCTAGCTAGATTTTGTTGAATTTTAGACACCAACCTAGGCTCAAGCAGAAATTGAGTGTACGACTTGGCGCTGGCGTAATTTTCTAGCGTTGGCTTTTTGTCATGTGACGCCCGTGGCAGCCTCGCGATTGGTCGACGAACAAAAACCAATCACAACGTCGACTGACGCCCCCTGTCAACGTTAAAGTCGAAACTGGCAGCGTGATTGCAGACAAACCCTAGAATAGCTGCACAAATTTATTCCAGGAGCAGGAAGGACAAACGAGGAATAATGGTACAGGAAGAAGATGACCATGGGCTCACTGAGTGCATGTGCGCTATACGGGCGAAGGCAGATACGGTACGTTTGCTTGCACTGGCAGTTAATTTGCCGATACCATTGCTTGTACCGCTGTCCTGGGGTCAAAATAGTCTGAGGTACACTCGGCAGCTGCTCGACTTCAGCGGTTGATCTGTATGGCTATCTTTTGCAACTTACTTCAGAAGTTACCTATGGCTGTATATTGTTTGTTTTATTATTCAGATTTTACAGCTTGTACTAAATCTGGTCGTTTGTTTGTTCGGCCCACCATTATCGACTCTGACACAGAAATTCAAACGAAATATAAAGTTGAGCTAGGGCAGTAAGTTTGTCCGGCGTCTACAATTATTTTATAAATATCCCCAACTGCTGGAAGCTGAGAAAATAGTAAGTTTATGTCTCAAAGACGTTCACACTTCTCGACTGTACATTTATCTTACTTGCATTTAGTATGGCTGTGACCACGACAGTTCATAAACCATACAGGCGCCGAAGAGCAACGTGAGAATAGCCCCTAACCCCCCCCCCCCCGCTCCTCTGAACGCTCAAAAGTACTCGCCAAGGGTAATTGGTGTTATCACTTCCCTAAATGACCTGGCGTACTGATCTGTGGGTGCTGTGAATAAGACGTCACATATTGCTTACCCTTGTGCATCGGAATAATATCGTACCTATGGAAAATCCTAGAATATTTTCCAGAAAGTGGGGAACAGATCCGTTTAAGAGGCCTTCGGTAAGGGTTAAGTATATGTGCGGCGTAAGGAAAACTATGGGATACTGCCTATAATACTTTTAAAAGTAGGCGTTGTTCGGTAGAGTTTTTGATCGACCTTTCGTCGGCAGGAGGACATTCGCCAACCCGTACCACCCCGAGGCGTCTGTGCTGCTGAACTGTTTATATTCGTTCATTGTTCTGTACCCCCAAACGTAACTCTTTAGTAAGAGGAAAGCTCATTTTAAAAGATAATTCGGGACGGAGAGCAGTCAGGTAGTGAAAAAAGTACTTAAAATATTGTTAGATGGAACGCATAGGTCTACCAGTAAAGTAGGAGTGTTAAAACGCTGGTGAATTAGTTAAAAAAACAGGTATCATTCTCTTACCCTGCGCATCTACTTAACTCTTACCAGGTTTTCTTTGAAAGACATACGAATTGATGCACTTGACCAGGACAGTCAAACTACACGGGAACTCTATGGATATCTTAGGCATGTTTAAGGACTGTTGGTTTCTAAGGCCTCCGGTAGGATATAATACTAGCTGCAGTAGTATTTTTTTCTTGGAGTATGCTTGAGATTCCAAAAACCAGGCGTGGACAGAAATCTATGAAACCTGTAAATCAACTGCAGCACGAGTTGATATTCCTAATTTATAGCCACAAGGTTAAAACAGCCTTAACTAGATCATTTAGGTGGACCTGGATGTTCGGTTAGTATCGGAAAACAAGCTTGGGTTGGCCCACTTTGCCAGCTTCTCCGTCCTCTATCGCCTGGCTTACCCGACTGGTGGACAGTCATTCGAATGAAAATTCTCTCTTCAGTGTTTTGATTGGTAGAACCTATGAACTGGCTAACTGGCCGCTGCATCAGCCTATCAAGTTTCATTTCTTTGGAGTTCTTGCCCAGACTTTTGGGGATATGGTTCACAGCAAGCGCAAGCGCCCCTCACTCGAATTAAAGTGTGAGCCTGGCCTGTAGGGACTCACCACCGTCTAAGAACGTCATCATTCGTTTGCCAGAACGCACTTTTGAACGCAGGGGCTGTATTAGTTATTTAAATATCTCTCACTTTCCTGCTCTCTTCCACACATACACACAAACACACTCAAACGATAGTTCGGTGGCCGTAAGCCACGCGATGCGTCCGGCCATGACTATTGCGTAAATTCACTTACACTGAAACAGAACTGTGCCACACATACCGCGTTCCAGTTACAATTCCGGCGTCCGGGGGTTGGCAATAGCTGGAGAAGATAACCATCCCGCCCGCACTAACCACACACGACCTAGACTCTGGCCCCATATGCATCGGGCTTCGCCAAGGTGGGGGTCTAAGATCGGAAGTAGGTGACACTGTCATAGAGGTCTCATTAAGAAGGCACCACTGCAGGTCGATCCTCATTCTCAAGGAGAGTAGAGTTGTCCAGTTAGCTGACAATCATTCGAGTCGGGATTTGTGGCGCGTCGTGATAGGTTCAAGCATCTTCGATTTAGTAAGGTAAGGGATGCGTTGACTTGTCATGCAGTTGGAGTCTTCCTCAATGTTGATCTATCTCCCATCTTACATGTAACACTGAACTGTACGAGCATGCCAGCCGATTGGCGATTACGTTGGATTCAGCGACCGACATAATACAAAAGCCTCCCTCAAAACTTTCAATAAGCGTGTGCGGTTAGTAGTTAAGGATTTAAGCAAACTCAGCACGGCGAGAGGGAGAGGGCTTAATGCAAAATCCTCAAGGCCACCCAAGACAGCTCTTCATTTGGTTGTCTTGCCACTCATTACAACTCCCTGTAACTAAAGAACTCTTGATAACCGGCTTCTGCATGCGTTTCTCGGACTGTAAGTCCTCTATGGCCAAAAGGATTACCAAAGGTCCATAGAGACTTAGAACCAGACAATTTTTGGCGATACCGTAGTAAATGTTCGTCAGAGATCTGTCACGGCTATATCCTCGTATGCTTGCTGACGAGTGCGAGCTGAAGTGAAGCAACTCACTTTGAGTTATTTGTCTAAAAGACACAGCCTTACATGTAAGGGACCATAAATCTCTTTTATACATTGAAATAAACATCAAATTTGGGTCTACACCTATAAGCCTTAGGATATGGTGATCTACTCCAAGTTCGCAGTTAATTTCTGAGGAAATTAAAAAGCAACCATTTGTAAACTGGACTGTTTATCAGAAAGCAAGCGGAGAATGCCAGGGGGACCCACTGAAGAGCCCTACCCTCTGAAGATGTGCCATGCAGTGGGAGAATATAAGTGAAACACCCATGTCTGGGCTTTTAGCGAGTACCTGTGTTGCCAGTACGGTATCTGGTGGCTCTAAAATTTAATACTAGCTGCCTGTCGGCAGTTAACGAATGCTAAACAGTTTTCCCGCTGTGGCTGATGTACTTTGGCCAAAATATTCATGCATCAAATTTCTGTGTGCGCATATAGACCTTAGCATATTACTGATGTACTCCAAGTTCGCAGTCACTTTCTGAGAAAACTAAAAAGTTACAATGAACTGAACTTACATACATCTAGATATCGTACTCAAGTAGAATTAAGATTGCGGTTACAGTGCGACATTTATTTGCAGCTGTTAGGAGGGTTTCCAGGAGATCAATTCTAGAGTCTTTTTAAATATTTGGGCAGTTGTGAGGTTTTTCTGAAAAGATGTTTGGATGGATTTTGCTGGCCCATGCTTGTAAAGTTTCCCCAGAATGTCTGGGCTCATTTCAAAGTTTACTTTATAATTTGGCTCGAAGGATTGGACATGGTTCCAATCCGCGACTGCCAGACCACAGTTCAGTGTGTGGAAAAACCGTTGAGAAGATACACTGCTGTAGTAACTGCTAGGTAATGCAACTAACAGCTGAAATGTTACTCATGAGCCACATGATCCAACCACTCGCCTTCGCGCTGGAGGCATTGCAACTAGTCGATATTCCCCTATTTCTCTCACACAGGGTGAGTCTACTTAAGCGCCGCAGGAAGGCTGAGTAATCAAGCCTGTTTTTAACCGGATAACCCCTCAAAGTGGGCTTCATGAACACAGATTTCTAAAATACTGGGGATTTTACCCCTCCATTTATGGTTGCTGAATCGAACCAATGTAACTTAACGTTACAGCCTTACTCTATGTCCAGTGTTTATGAAACTACTAACGGATATAAGTGGACTCCTAAGAAATCAATGTAAAAGACCTATATGACAATTACTGTTGAACGCTGACAGGACCCGAACTTGGTTGCCAGGTGCAAGTTAATAATTTTTAAGTTGTGCTTGCACGTTTAGGCTGAAAGTTACAGAAATTCATGTACGGGATCCTTTTCTAATAGGTAGGCCTTCCCACTGAACTGCCCGAAAACTCCCGCAAAAACTTGCCCGTCCTCACAATGGATTCTCAAGTATTTCACCCGCCTGTTGAACCCCTGGTTCTTGTCGCCGCCTATACGAAGGTAGGTTTTTAGTTTTAAAATGACTTGCAATGTAATGCTGCTTGTCTTGGCGAGTATGAGCATGATCCTCAGCTGCTGTCTACAGATGGTGCTCAGCACATTTGGGTAACAGAATTTTTTACATACTTTATATGTCAAATCTATTCATTCAACTGGCGGAGAAATGTCCGTTGAAAACCACAGCACTTTTTCACTTACGTTACTACAAAGATTAAGTTATCGCTTCTTTATGCGCTGGCTACATTAAATGATTTACAGTAGTTAAGAAAGGGACCGATGAGAGTTTGCTAAAAGTAGAGTATAATCGGAAAATATCCTGCTATTCCAGCAATTCTTCAAAAATAAAGTCGGACTGAAAGCGGTATCCTAGTGTTACTCAGCCTCTCTTCTGTAAGACAGATATGATGAATTCACTATGTGATATCTCGGTCTCTCGCGAAATTTCTTTTCATGCTTTATGTAGTCCCTTCCCTTCCTCAACACCTTTCTCGACGGGGACTTAAGTTTGCGATTTTTGGAGTCCGCTTCAGTCCTTCTAAATGAGGCCGTCATGAAAACAGAGGAGGCCAACTCCATACTAAACAATCCCGTGTTAGAGGTCATCGAAGAAGATTTCGACATTTATCGTCACTTGAATACTCCTAAGGCCCTGGACACTGGGTTTGGGGCCTCTTCAAAAGAGAGGGACCCGATTTTCATGATTGGCTTCTGTCAACTCTATCTGGCTGACATTTTGATGCACTGCTCTGTCGCTTCACTGTCTATCAAGTTGCTTACATGTCCGGGTGAGTTAGCCTTCATTGGGCTTTTACTATCCAGGTTAATGCACTCATTTCCATTAGTGAAAGTATTTTATTACAACCTGTATAATTTTCAAGCCACTCCGCGTTTGCTGAGTCATTTTAAGAAGGAGTTACCCCTATGGGTTTGTCCCGAGTACCAACTTCTATATGGCTGACCTATTCCACTAAGGAGAGACAACAGTCTTATTGACAAAGAAAGTGATCACGGTCATTAAAAAAAACAAAAAGCGATTTTCAAAAAACAGACCTTGAATGAAGCGCCACTGTTAAGTTTAAATTTAGTCAGGAAGGGAAGGAAATTTCAAGCAATGGGAACGGTTAATAATAAGTGATGTTTACTTTCACAATGAATTTTAGGTATATTTTTGGAGATGCCATCTAGTTGGGGTTCCTATACCCTATCTTTACCCAGCTTATTTTATTTGACGGAAGTGTGGGTGTTGTACCTTTGGGCCCCTATCTGTTACAGGCAATGGACGTATATCAAAAAGTTGCAAACGGAAACACCAAACAGCTACAAAATAATTATCGAAGTCGAATAGATAAACGTATTATTCCAAGTGTTAGAAATGCTTGGACTACCATGCAGGTTGTAAAGTAAACAGACTATGCGTAACTGCGCTACAGAGACAGTAGTACGGCTTAAATTACCTGCAGGCGCCAAAGTGAATGACAGGATGCGCGCGTGGTGACAAAATTCAAAAAGAAACACTACTGACGTATAGACAATAACGTGTTGTTGACGTTGAGCGCCGGGACCGTATTGGTCGGCTGGCATTAAGATGTGTGATGCATGCTGATCAAGCTTTCGCTTAATAGTCTCGACAGATGTGAACATAGCG